TTCTCAACTGATTGCATCTTTCTTGGTGGAAGAAGAAGAGAGGCAGGAATGAGAATTTATGCCTCTTTTGATACAAGCCATTGCTAAACTTAAATTACATTTCATGCCTCCTTAAACCTTGAATATAATTGGCTAAACCGGTTTTCCCACTCAAGCCATTTAATGGGGCTTATATATTTCACAGTTCAAACAAACACAGGTTTAGCAACCTTGACAGAACAATGAGGTATCTGCATAATCCTTCTTTAAAAATTAGATCTTGAAAGTATCTAGGCTTTTACAGCTTGTATTATATACTGTACATGGTAAGTATTTGAAATGTTATTTTTGCTAATGCTAAAAACACTTAACTCTGGCAAGTTCATATGCAATACTCCTTACATGTTTTTTTTATTCTTCCAAGAAGACATGATTGGCAATGGATATTAAACAAGCAGGACCCTATAAACAAATTACTAAAAATCAAGCAGCCACTTCAGATATCAGTCAGGTTTCATTACAAACTGTTAAATTCTAGCTATGATGTATTGATAAACGAGGAGAACATTTTTCTTTTAGGGCAGATCAGTTTAATAAAGATGGCATTGTTATACTCTTTGGAAGAACAAGTTCTACAGATTCCTGCTTCCTATGGAATTAAATTTGCAAAAGGTAACCTGTGATAAAAAGGCAGATTAACTGCCAAGGATGAAGTGATGTAATGCAATGAACAAAAAACTAAGGCTATAAAAGTAGCATTAGATTAATACATACAGGTTGAACCTTATGAGTCAATGCTGATCCATCATTTCTCTTCTGCCAAACAAGGCAACCCACTGCAGCCTTTGGCAGTCAAAATGATGAATAGATTTGTATCTTGTCTTTCCCTCAGAAGATGAAGGCAGTATCCAGAGCATTCCCTCCTCTTAAGTTTTCGTACAATATTTCTAAGAAACAGTGAACATTAGCCAGGGAGCTTCCAACTGGAATTCAGGTCTCCGAATTCAGCACTCAGAACTTTAACTGCCACACAATGCTGGCTCTCTTTAGAAAGGATAAAGGTAAAGGTTTCCCCTCGCACATATGTGCTAGTCATTCCCGACTCTAGAGGGCGATGCTCATCTCTGTTCAAAGCCAGCGCTGTCCGAAGATGTCTCCGTGGACATGTGGCTTGCATGACTAAATGCCGAAGGCGCACGGAACACTGGTATCTTCCCACCAAAGGTGGTCCCTATTTTTCTATTTGCATTTTTACACGCTTTTGAACAGCTAGGTTGGCAGAAGCTGGGAAAGTAACGGGAGCTCACTCTGTTATGCGGCGCTAGGGATTAAAACTGTCGAACTGCCAACCTTTCTGATCAACAAGCTCAACATCTTAGCCAGTGAGTCACTGTGTCCCTTTTAGAAAGGATAGCCCTCTGTTATTAAAATATTGTATACCTCTTCTAGTGCTTCTGGCTATCTGAAGTCGGGAATGATATTGATTCTACAGCTTGCTGAGAAATATGAAGTGCAGCATCCAACATCTGGACTAAGCTAGCATATCATATATGTAAACAGACTCTTATGGGAAAATGCATGATGATTCATTCTGCTTCCCTTCACTGCTACTATTATCCTGTGGCCTCTCCAGCACCTCTGTGGCCTCTCCAGCACCTCTGTCTTTTGAGGAAAAGTCTATGACAAATATTCAGCAAGTCTCTATCTCATTGCTGATAAAAAGAAAAAAATACTTACAAGTGCACAAATATTTATGCATACACCTGGCTCTGAAGGTTTTTATTTCTTTTTTTTCAATCACCTTCAGTAACTGGTTTCCATTTACTGCACAGCAGTCTTACTTAAAAGACTATGTGATGTTTTGGACATGCTTTATAGAAATGAATTATTGTTCTTTGTCCTATTATAATTCCTATTATGGCTTTATAAACTTGACTGGCAGAATCTCATTTGAATGCCGGCTTCTGGCAGCCTGTCATACATTTCGAGCATAGTGAAAGCTACCTATTAATATTTCTTTCCCACATCCTCTCCAAAGACACCTGTCTTCTAAATTATACCCTACAATGGCTCCTCTTATCTCCCATGCTAATCCGTAAGCAAAATCTAAACAGTTGTCAGCCAAGCTGGAAAATAGCACCAGCAACTCATCTGAGCTACATGTGCATTCTTGGGTACCTAAACCAGAATGTTTTCTGTTGTTGGTAACAAAGCTGTGCAAGAGGCTCAAGGAATTAATTGTTAAGGCAACATTCAAAAGGCAAGGCCACTTACATATAAATGGAAGGGGAAAAACATATCTAGACATATCTTTCTCTTGCAGAAATAAACTATGGATGAAATTCACCTATCCCATATCCTGCAATGCTTCCCTTTGCATCTTTTTTCTCCTCTTTTGCTCTTCCTTAATGCCACCCGCTTCTTCCCTGATTTCCTTCCCCCAAATTCTAACAGTCACCAGTCACTGTTGCTATTCCTCTTTATCCTCTGTTGCTGTCTTTCTTCTCTTCCTTTTATGCTCTTTATTTGAGCCATGGTGGTTAGAATGCAGCATTGCAGGCTAAATCTGCCGACTGCCAGGCGTTCGATCCTGACTGGCTCAAGTTTGACTCAGACTTCCATCCTTCTGAAATTGGTAAAATGAAGACCCAGATTGTTGCGGGCAACATGCTGACATCTTAGAGAGGGCTTTAAAGCACCAAGAAGCAGTGTATATGTGCTATTGCTATTTGAGCAGAATATCCTTCAAATAAACATACACAGGATGATCATCTTGATTTAGAACAGGATGACCTTGATTTAGAGCAGGAGTATCACATGACAGGTACAAGTTAGAATATACTAAGAAGAACACTATTAGAATACTCTCTGCCACTTCCTTGAGCCCTTCTAGCTATTCTACATAAGGCTCACAGTTTCTTCCTCCATAGTGAAAGAAATCTAAAGTTCCTGTTCTCTACACCTAACAGCATAGAAACAGCCTCTCCAAGTCACCTTTCATTTTTGCTCTAGCAGTTGAATTGCTTTGCCTTGGAGAAGGAGTTACCACACTCCTCCAGATTGGTTTTTTAACCCTGTCTTCCTATTACCCGAGTTTAAGAGTTACAGAATTCTCTACCCTCTCCTTCTTGCAAAAACCTACCAACCTATTAGCCACATGTCTTCAAACACAAATGCCAGATTAATCTGTACTGAGAAGAAAGTTCTGTTCTCCACAAAGTGTGGTAGCTAATAAGGCAAGTGAGAGATCAATAAACCTTTATTAAATACAAAGCTTTATTTGTACCCACTTAAAATGGCTACAGTTGATGCAGGGCATGCTAGGAAGGCCTACAATGTCACCTTTCCAAATCCAACCATAGTATTAAGGATTCCCTAGAGCAAGCTTGGATTTTTGCCTCATTGAGGACTCCCGCCCCAATTCTACACTGTAGCCAAGTTACAACGCAGAAGACAGATGGGTAGGGACATTTGTGCAGCTTATTTCCTACCATTATTGTCTCTATTTCAAGACAAAACTACTGTCTATGTGGACACAGAATAAAATATGTATAAGAGAAATATGGAAATAGATCACGAAAATCCATCTGAGCTGCTTTTTGGGGAAGCAGCTCCCAAAATGTCCAATGGGACACATTTCCTGTCTGCAATACACTGATTTATACCAGTACATGAAAGAATTTGCTCTACATATTTGCAAACCCAAATTTTGAAAGGCTATAGATTTTAAAATAAAGGCTTTTATGCAACACAATTCTGGAACGAGCTCTGCAACGAGCTCCCCGTGGAGATCCGGACCCTTACGACCCTCCAGGCCTTCCGTAAAGCCACTAAGTCCTGGCTGCTCCGGCAAGCCGGGGGCTGTTGAAGTATCCAGCCCCACGGTAACTATGAATGTTGTTATATTTTAAATTTTGTTGTCTTATTTATTCCCTTCCCCTTTTTATTGTAAGCTGCCCGGAGTCCGCCGGGAGTGGGCGGCATACAAGTTTAATAAACAAACAACAACAAATTCACTCCTGAAATGTCTACTTCTGTGCCTAACTAAAAGAAAGACAATTTTAAAATGGGCCGACCATTTTGAGAGGTGCTTGTCCTGCAGCATTGCCATAAGCAAAGCACTATTTCTCAAAGTGTCTCTCTGTCTTCTTCCAAAAGTCCTGTGCAGCTGCTTTGGTGCCCATCCAAGGTCATCTGAGCATGCACATGCATACTGAGAAGACACATCCTTGACTGTTGACAAAGGATGGCACTTCCAAGGAATATGATCACATCGATGCTACACCAAAGGCTGCTTAGCTCATGGCAACAACAATATTGAGAAGCACTCCCCTTTAAATAGTTAATACTTACGTAAACTTATCTTCATGACACAAATCTCATGGAGAACATCTGCTTATCACCAAAGTAAGCATTTGATTAAACTTCAAAATTGCATGCTATTGAAACATTTCAAATAAAAAGGGATTCCAACAACACAATTATAGAGAGAATCTCTGAAAAGAAATATTTGCTCTTTTGGGGTTTCTCCTACATTTCTTGGTTCACTTTTTTAGTAGCAGAAATGCACTTCAGCTCTTGAGACCAGGGGCGAAATCAACTTAGCTTCGCTACCGGTTTGCAAATGACCTTCCGGACAAAGGCAGAGCATCAAAAATGGGACATGATGACATCCGGGCAGGTGGGTGGAGCCTCCCACTGTCACCACTACCGCTTCGCCCAAACCGGATAGACCCAGCTGAATTGAGACACTATTTAGCATTAAACCATACTGATAAAGAATCATAAAAAGGGGGCAAAATCTCCAGATTAAACAGGCCTCAGATATGACCATTTTAAATAAAAGTTAGTGTATAGGATAAAGATAGATGGGGCCCAGGAAAATGAACAAATGTAAACTGCACATTAGAACCAACCATTGAAGAGATGTAAACTTGTATATTGAGTAGTGTGCTTCTTCTTAAAACAGGACTCTTCTGATTGGATGATCTTTCCAGGCAGACTCATGCAGCAAAGGATACTAAAACTTTGATTGGTTATTTCAAAGTTCCATAGGTTTATCCTCAAGTCATCTGCTGACATGTAGGTTTCATAGTCACTGTTTACAGAAATGGAATTGATGTGATAGGTATGTGCATTTGCAAAGACTCTTCTGGGAGTTGCCTCCACCATTAAATCCATGGGCCTTAGCACAGGTACCTAACAAAGACAAGAAACAAAAGGAGTTAATCAAATATAATTAATACTTTTATCAAAGAAATTCATCACTCAATATACTGTATGTGTCTGTTTCACTATTTTGTTACTGTTTCCACTGTTCCCATGCAACAATCTTCCTCGAATTGTCATTATGCTGCTATGTTTGTTGAATAATCACCATTGTCATACAACAATTCAATGTTCACAATTTCTTCCTCTGGTTCTTAAATGTGACACCAGAAAATTTAATTTCATTAGATAAAATATACGTACTCTACGGTTCAGCAGATTTATGTATACTAATCAATGAATATTTTTCTTTATTTGGTGTATTTCACTTGGCTTTGGGTTTTTTTTTCCTACGTCACATCTTATTGCTGTTCTATTGTATTGAAATGCTCTGTAGTATTTTCAGTTGCAGCATTTGCAGCATCTGTAATATTTTCAGTTGCAGCATAGAAAAATGAAGATATTATTTACTTTTTATAAAGGAGTCCAAAGGAGGGATATGAATTTGACAAGCAAACCAACTGAATTATATAACTAGCATATCTGGCCCAATACTGCCAAGAATGAAAGAAGAAAGCTTCAGTTCAATCATATAACCAATCAAATTACCTTGGATCAAACATTCCTTCATGGTTTAACATTAGATAATATTTCTAAGGAATCTATCTGAAAGGTACAAAAGATTCCATTTTTGTCATCCTCAAATCACATGATATTCATATCATCCTACCAACAAGGATAATAAAAGAAGTGGGATCACCCAGGGCTCCTCCCAAACAGAGACAGATATATAACTTTATTTTATTCCTTTTTATGCTTATTCAATATATACTAATAAGCTGCTGTACCCAATCAATGAGCACCCACGTTAACACCAGCGGAAATAAATAGCAGCATAAATAATGCCTTCAACTACATAACACCATAAGACAACTTAATAGAACAGCTAGTGGCGGCCAGTGCCAAGAAACCATTTCCTCACAGCAACTTCATTACTAAGCATTATTGTCCGTATGTTGTCTAGGGAGATTTCCCATGGCTGAAGTGATGGAGATGGGAGTATGACAGCCCAGATCAAGTGACTCTAGGACACAAGAGCTGCCAGCTCCAACTCTGAGTGTAATGTGATGAGCCTGCTTTCTAATTCAGCCTGACATATGCAATGATGCATCATTTGCTCTTGGAGGGCCTGCCACAGCTATCTAGGGACATAGGCTAGTATTCTGCCTGTTGGAAGCAAACAGTCATCCAGACTGTCAGAAACAGGATGGTTTTCAAAAGCTCCCAGGTTCAACGGTTAGAATTCACTGAAAATGACAAACAAACAAAAATTAAAGGTAGGTAAGAATAGGCTGGGGCAAATCAACACATCAACGGATAGGGTAGTCAAATATGTTGGAGAAGATTGTCCGCATCTGTGCTGAATGGCTGAACTAATTTCAGAGGGTTTTCCTCCCACTCTAGTATTCTTGAACAAATGGACCACAGGACAGGGAAGTGGATGACCATACTCCTATTAAAACGTTGCAAGGGAAACAAATGAATATTGCAGTGAGAGAATCATATTTCTATGGAGCCTATATGGATACTAACTGTGTATATATTCATGCATATACTCTGTATACAGGCTCAGATAGATAATAGAATAACAGACTTGGAAGGAACCTTGGAGGTCTTCTAGTCCAATCCCTGCTTAGACAGGAAACCCTATACCATTTCAGACAAATAGTTATCCAACATCTTCTTAAAATCTTCCAGTGTTGGAGCATTCACAACTTCTGGAGGCAAGCTGTTTCACTGATTAATTGTTCTAACTGTCAGGAAATTTCAGGTTAGTTCTAGGTTGCTTCTCTCCTTGATTAGTTTCCACCCATTGCTTCTTGTCCTGTCTTCAGTTGCTTTGGAGAATAGCTTGACTCTTCTTTGTGGCAGCCCTTGAGATATTGGAACACTGCTATCATGTCACCCCTAGTCCTTCTTTTCATTAACCTAGACATACCCAATTCCAGCAACCGTTCTTTATATCTTTTAGCCTCCAGTCCCCTAGATACCCAGAGCCTATGTAGTATACATTCCTTTTCTTTAGAAATATTCCAATTGTAGGAATGCCATTAATAAAAGAGAATTGGTAGTTAATTCACGTATCCAAACTGCACAAATCTTCTGATTAATCATGATGGAAACATTTTTCAGATATTCAAAAACTATGGTGGAGACACCTCTCAATTCTGTATTTGTTTGTATGCATTTCTCACTGAAATGCACCACAAAGCTTGGAATGCGCAAAGGTCAAAGACTAATTAAATCTGTGAAGTGATAGAAGGAGGCAAGGTTACACTGAAGTACAACAGAGAATAAGTTTCGCCATGCTATCTCTATCAAGTATTAAACAATTTTGAGTATTTGGGGCATACATACGCAAGCTAAATCTATTCAATGCTTTTCCTGCTAACCATGAATTATAATCATGGACATTTTCTTTCCAAGTAAACAGGCAGACCGTGGAAACCTCACACTTAATATCTCCCATTATGGCAGAAAATGAATATGAATGGAATGATGGATTTAATAATATATCCCTGCAGAGGAGGCTTCAGATGTTGCCTAGCTGCAATATTCAATATTCTTCAGTATGGATTGTTCTGGCTGGGCTGACAGATTCTGTTCCACAGATTCTGGCGAGCCAAACATTCCCTGTTTCTGCTGTAGGGAATCAAACCCAGAACTGTTGTTTCCTATGTGTTCAGTCAGAAGTCACTTGATGGCTTTGATTTTACCTTACTACCTGTTTGCTATACAGGTAGTCCTTGACTTATGACCACAACTGATCCTAAAATTTCTGTTGCTAAGCGAGATAATAACTATCTCGCTTAGCAACAGAAAGTTTAGGATCAGTTGTGGTCATAAGTCAAGGACTATCTGTATAGCAAACAGGTGGTAAGTAAGTGACTTTCCCCCCCCCCTTTTATGCCACAGTTGTTCATTGAATCACTGCAGTTGTTAAGTGAGTAACATGGTTGTTAAGTGACTCTGGCTTCCTTGTTGACTTGGCTTATCAGAAGGTTGCAAAAGGGGGTCACATGACCCCAGGACACTGCAACCCTCAATAAATATGAACCAGTTGCCAAGAATCCGAATTTTCATCACGTGACCATGGGGATGCGGCAACGGTCATTTGGAAAACGGTCATGAGTCACTTTTTCAGTGCCATTGTAACTTTGAATGGTCACTAAATGAACTGATGTAAGCAGTACCAATGTTTTTAATACGACAGAACAAGGCACAACTAAATGGGAAATGTGATTATCACAGGCCTTCACTATACACGCAAACCCCTTGCAATTTACTGAAGATTTCTAGTTCCCAAAGTTAATAAAGTATTAATCCTCCCTGAGTGGCAGCATTCATTTTTGGTTATGATTCAGAAGTTAATGTAATTCTAAAAGCAAAGGGAACAACTTTCCTTTTGGCCTCTACCTTTAGGCAACCCCAAATTAAACCAGGAAAGAAGATAAATTTGATCGCTGCTGTTTTCTTACAATTATTCCGAGTTGTTGCTTTTTTATCAGCTTCTGGGGACTCACTCTATCCCTCTGTGGGTCCATCTATTTATCTCTCCAGCTGGAACAAAAGCTTATTCAAACGTATTGCATCTTTGGGTTTTATAAATAAATAAAGATTTGCTTTCGGCATATGTCCTTTTTATTCATTTATGGATCCTTCTACTATGGAGGAGAATCGGGAGAGGTGAACTTCAAAGCAGAATGGAGTAGGAGTCTACAACAAGCAGAGAAAGCCAAAAGGTAAAGTGTAGGTGGAAACAACTACTGAGCTCGCCTATTAAACCAAAACCTTGCTTTAGGTCTTTTTCAGACTGCAGCCACCGTTGTTGTTGAGCGTGCGAAGGCGAGCAGAAGCAGTGGGCTGTTTGCTTTAATGAATGTGCCTAAGTGCTTCTTGACAGAGTCTGAAGCAGGAGCCCTGTTGAGCTTTTCCATTACCATTTCCCTACAGAGCATGTGCCTAGCATGCTGATATGCTGCATCTCCAAAGCATATGAAGCTATGGAGGACATTTAACCAATAACAATGACAACAACTCATGGGATGAATGAAGAAGTTACACAAGAATACATGGGGCGATGCAAGATGTAGGGCAGGGGGCTATAAAGTAGCAAACAGGAAAATGACATTTGCCACATTATAGCCCCCTGCCTTACATCTTGTATCACCCCATGTGTTGTTGTATATCCCTGTCCTCTGGCATCACTACACAGCCTAGCAGAGAAAGCTTAGATGTGGTCCAAAGAGAAGAAGTTGGAATCCCTAATACATCTCCTGCATAAATTTCCCCTTTCATTCCCAATAGGTTAGATCAGGAGTGTCAAACTTGTGCCCCGCGGGCCAGATGCATCATACGCTGGCCACCCCCCTCCCATTTTAGCAAAGGGGGTGAGTCGCGATACACCACGTAATGACAACATGATACCGTGAGTTTGATACCCCTGGGTTAGACTATGCGTGGGCATCAACTGTATCCTTTTTCAGAGGAAAAACAAAAGGGGACTACCAGTCTTAGCAAATAGTTCTTGTAAGTGGGGTTTACCAAATATGATGATAATTTGCGAAACAGGTACAAGTGATCCTGCTATGCACCTAGGCTGCAATCGAAAGAATGTGTCATTCACATGAAGCCAGACAGTATGAAGTTTGGGGTAATGTAACTTAGGGTTATAGATGGGTATAGGTTCTAATAAACAATTTTCAATTTACTACCATGGAATTAACAGTGTGTATATGTGTCTTCCATTAACTCTAGGAGGGGTTTATATCTATTTACTGGAAAGCTATAGAAGAAAAGAGACCGAAGAAAAAATACATATGAAAAATACATATGAAATATGAAATACGTGGGCTAGAGATGTATGCAATGGTTCATGTATGATACTTGATGGGATGCCTGATATGCTGAATTGAGACATCAGAATCAGG